GTAATTATTTAACATTTTTTGTCCTTTCCTATTTGTTTTTGGCTACATTAAAGCATTTTTTTGAAAATATACAGTAAGGTTCCATATTACCACCCGATTTTCTCTAAGCCTACTTTCGGACTTTTTGTACAAAAGCCTTCAAAAACCATACTTATAATTACACTAGCGAAAAATCCAATTAGGAACATTTAGTTTACTAGATACCAGTACTTTTCGTACAAAAAATGTGGGTGTAGTTATGATACCTTGTTTACAATTCACTAAAATGTAATTGGGGTTCCATAATACCACCTTCTCCTCTACTGTATATAGAAATTATAAGCTATATACATCAGTAGAATCATTTAAGAAAAGGCATTAACTAATGCGCAAAATCACAAACGAAGAAAAGAAAAATTTCATTAAAACAATGCCAGATAGAGTTTGCGAATAACTAATAAAAAAGGTGAACTTATTTCTTATTATGGAAAATAATATTATTTATTTAAATTTTGAAGCAGTTTTGTCATTTCGGTTGAAGTACAACTTATAAAACGTTGTTAAAATTTGTACATGTTTTTGTTTTATTGCTTTTGCTTCATATTATTATTATTATACTGTATGATGTCATAATGACCTAATTGTAAAATTTCCTTCTATTGTTCTGAAATCTGCTCGATATTTCTTTGTTAACCCGACAAGACCGATGTGGTGACAAAACGAATTTTTATATTTTATTTATGGAATGAGTTATTCGAATTCAAAATTTGCCATGTAAATCCTATGGTCAGATCTTTGCGTGCAAGTTGGTATCACGCTACGTGTCAATGGAGTTTGTGATTGCTGTCAAATTACACCGATTTCTTCCACAATTCTTTACGACGGGAGTTTAACATGTGCAAAAATTTAACTTTTGAAAACACGCACACATGTGTTATACGGTCGCACATTTGCGTGTTTTAACCAGTTTCTGAATTTACTTGTAGGCCGCTGTTGTAATTTGAAAGTATCTTGAACTTTCTTTCTGATATGACGTTGGACATTCACGTCTTCCCTCGAACTAGCAGGATTTCAAGTGTTTTACAGAACTTAGTACTGAATTGTACTGAATTACATTTATAATGATGGCTCTGCCATTTAAAATTTGTTGTTAATATAAATACGTCTATTGATGTTAGTATTACATAATCGAAAAGTTTGTATTCATAAATTTTAGGAAATAAATTCATAATAGCTATTTATTCCTAGAATTGAATTATTATTTGTTATAATTAAACATTCCTCATGTACAAATCTTGCTGAAATCAGTTAATTCCATTCTGAAATTTTTCACTCAAATAATTACTTAATAAACAATTCTTACCTCATTACTTTTGTTTCTGTCTTCAATTTCATCATTCATATCACATTGAAAACTTTCAATTTTATCATCATCATCATCATCATCATTAAATACCGCACTCTCTAAATCAATATAATTTTCAGAGACTTCTTTCTTTGGTAATATTCCTGTATGCGCTTCTAAATTTTCCAATTGTTTAGAATTTCCAATAAATTCACATTTCCCCTGAAATGTATTTATCGTGTACATAAATACAATTACTTCTATGTTAATACCTGAAAATGTGTACTAATTGAATCCCGAAATGTTATTATTGCTTACCAATTTTTACTGAATTTATCGTTAACATTTACAGCGATTGGAGCCGACGTTTTCCTCTCTAAAACGTGAACGTGAACGTAAATGGCGTTTTTGTAAGCGGCGCTCGACGTTCGACGTCACGTCCTAGAGTGGAAAACTTCGGCCACAACCTAGCTATAATTTTATTAATAGTATGTCCTGGTTTTTAGACTGTTAATGCAATGTCTATATTTATGTAATTCCTATAAATCAATTTGTTTCTATATACTTCCGTACATAGAAAAAAAGACAATGTCACTATTTTTAAACTCAGAACCGTACAGTGAATATAAATCAGTAAACACCAGCCAGTCTTTGTCACAGATTTTTACTTCACCCACAGATTGGCCGAATGCAGTTTTTAACAAATTTTCAACACGTATCTACACTGAAATAACTGTCATTCTGCCGAAAACAGCCCTCCCTAAAATTTTTTTCGCGGTACATAGCCAATGAATAGATTAAGAATGTCGTTGTTATCGTAAAAAGTAATTTACAAAACATAACTAATAAACAATTAACGTATTCACCTTCTTTAACGCTAAAATTCTACACGCAGAGTTTAAAAATTGTATTTGATGCGTAACTAGAATACATATCTTGTCTTTCAAATATTCCATTATACACCTGAAATAGATTGAATGTTATAATGTATCGAAATGTTCATAAAGTATTTTTTAAATAATTACTTTTCGAAGATATGTTTTGCCACTGGAACATCAACAGCACTCAGTGGATCATCCAGGAGGAAAATATCGGCATCCACATATAGCGCTCTAGAAAACATAAAAATGTATCACCATTAATAAATAAATAAATTAATTCTTGTTCCATCGTTTAAAAGTATATTCCGTCTTTTATATTACGAAGTAGAAGAGAAGGCGTGAAATAAAGTATAGAACACCAGCACACGATGTCCCTACTACCAGGCCACGAAATAACCAAAGTAACTGGTTTATCTGATAACAGATAAATATTTTATTTGTTTTACTTTTAACAAATACACCACGGAGAATTTAGAAAATATCAGTGAGAAGTGAAACGATACATGTTTCGGATGAAACTTTTTATCAGGATGTAATGACTATAATCAAAACTAGTATACTTATAAACAATATATGAACTTCATTAAAATATATTTTTTATTGCTACTATGTTTGTCTTATTTCTATTAATATTGTAGTTTCATATTTTCACACATAGAAATATAATTTAGGTAAGACCTGTCTTACCTTGCTAAATTAATTCTTGCCTTCTGCCCACCACTCATTATAACTCCTTTTTCTCCTACGATTGTCAAATCTCCTTTAGGAAATAAGCTAATATCCTAAAAGTAGTAAAAATAAAAATACAAGATAATTATGTTCAACCTAATGTGCGTTGACAATTTTATTAAAACTAAACAAAACTAATGATTTTTTAAAACTTATAGATTGTGTTTTGATAGATAAATTTGTCTTTTGTATTCGAAATCAGTATTTGGGCTAATAATATTTAATTTTATGTCATGCCTCCTATAACCTTTTTTATTAAAGTTCAAGACTACAAAATCAACTTATTTATTTATTTTTTATTTATTAAAAACTGCTTTTTTAGTCTTGATCAAATCACTTTTCGTTTAGAAAAAAAGTAACGAATCGAAAGTATAGTTTTTAAGAGTAAAAATCATCTTACCTTTTCTAGAGCCGTTATATGCAAGATTTTTCTATATTTCTCTTCTTGATATTTTTCTCCAAACAAGATGTTTTCTCTGATAGTTGCGTTGAACACCCAAGCTTCTTGAGAAGCATACGAAATCTTTCCTTTTACGGACACTTCACCGAAAGTAATTGGAATCTCTCCCAACACGGACATTAATAAAGACGACTATCGAAATTAATGTCGTTTCATTATCGAAAACGAAAAGTTTTGCATAAATAATATAAGTACATAAACATTTTAAGAGTATTTACGTATTTGTGTAAAAATATTATCTCAATTATTAACTGCTTTCTTTTAAAACGCATGTAATGTAAAGAGGTGACACAACATAATCTATGAATTCCTAACAGAAACTCTAACATCACATTCATGAATCTCTAAGATTTTATCTGCAAACAAACTTTCGTAAAATACATCAATTAAATCATAACGGATAATCTTCCATTATGATTTGCTTGATTATGCGTGCAGAATATTCTTGCGACAACGTTAGACGTGTTTATGAATAAATTTCTGATCTACGCCAAAAACTAATCTGTTGTATATATAATCAAACGAAAAAAATGATATCAATAGAATCATGCACTCAATACTTAAAAATATTAGTAGATACAATCTAACCTCTATTTAAGATGTTTTTGCAGAAATTTCAAATTAAAGATCAAATATGATTCTACAGTTCTGTATTTCAAAATAACTTACAGGCTTAATTAATAATAACAGATTGCAGACATTTTTAAGAAAATAAATTGTTCAATGTTACACAATTAAAAAATATGCAATAAGAATAACTTTTGTTTTTAGAATAACTTTTGTGTTATGAATAATTTTAGAAAATTTTCTAAGGCGAAAGTTAAGTAATAAAAACTTCGGTGTTTATAATCTATACTAGCTGCAAGGACCTGCTTCGCTGGGTTTTTATTTCTATGTAATAAAGTTTATATATATATATATATATATATATATGGACGTGTATGTCCCTATATTTCACTTTTCCGCAAAAACTACACATCGCACGTGAATAGTGTTTTTATGTGGTAGTAGCATCAAGTCTCCATCCGTGCACTGTGGGGGTGGCGTCTTGATATCTATAAGAATGCGGAAGATATGGGACTGAAAGTGGTTTTCTATTTCGAATGTTATGTTCGAATTTAATTCGAACATAAAATTCAAATATTGGTTCGATTATAAAACGGTTGTAAACGTTCCAGAAACGTTGAAAATAGTTCGTTTGACTAAACGTAGAAATTCTCTAATTAGTCTGGAAACGGGGGACCTAATTCTTGCATTTTGTGAAAACGGGTAAAATTAGCAATAATGTAATTATCTTAATCTTCACTAGCGCTACTTTTTGCCCACAAATAAAAACCCAGCGAAGCGGGTCCTTGCAGCTAGTATATATATAAGACTGTCTTTCGAAGTAATCTAGAATGTAGCTGCAAGGACCCGCTTCGCTGGGGAATAAAAATGAATGTATATCCTTTATGCATTACCACACTGTTTATCCGATTGCAGTGAAACTTTGGGAAGTTGTTTGATATACTCCCTCGAAGGTTTCTGGCATAGTACATTTATCCTACGATAGATGGCGCGAGTGTATACGAGCATTTCATTGTGAGTTCGATCGATTTGAAATCGTGAAGACCATTTCCCCCTCCAAAAAACATTTCTATATATGCATTTGTGAACTGTTATTTATGATATTTGTAATAATTTTTGCTTAATCACTTTATTTCAACTATTTTTCGCTAATTACGTATTCGCTCGAACTACGTTAAAACCTTAACTGTATCCCCAACAACGACCGAAGTCGTAGGAGGAAATTTGCCTATTTTACCGATCAGGGGATCCCCCTTTTTCAAATTTTAATATCGACCAAAATAATTTTAAAAAGCAAATTACAACAAAACGGTTTATTATCCAACTATCAGAAATTTCACAACATGCCAAGGAAGAGAGGAAGGAGCAATTAAATAATTAAAATTATAAAGGATTAAAAAATATATATAAAAATGGGGAATATCGCGCTTCTGACAATCGCTGCAAGTGTGTGGGCTAAATTTGGAGAATCCGTGCTTCTCGCATGGACAACTGTATGTGGCCAGCTCACGCGTCGGAAAACCTTCTGATTTATTCGTGTACGCACCAGACGGAAAAAGAAAAAATATCGTGTATCCACAAGCACTCCAATAAATAAATAGAATTGAAACGACACTGTCAAATGTTTTCCCGATTATAATTAATAATGATAATAATATAATAATAATAAGTTTCAATAAAAATGATAAAATGTAAACTGAATATTATTATAACGAGTTTGCTTGAATTTCGTTTTTTTTTGAGATCGCTGCAACTTGCGACGGGTAAACTAGTTTTAGATAAGATATTCATATCTAAATTGAATATGTTTGACTTTAGCATGTAATTATGCACACCTACAGGCAGTTATTTCATCATTTTCACTTGTTTTTAGTCAGTTTGTTTTACGTAAACAATAAACGTAACAGGAGATTTTATAAGGAATTAAGCACACGAGTTACATAATACAAATACTTGTTCAACAATCTTTCTTCTCACGTGAGAAAAATAACATCCACCGTTTTGTCCGATAAGTACACAGAATGTATATTTTCTTTCCAAGAATTAAAATAAAATCCAAATAAAATCAATAACAATAAAATTATTTAAACCGAAGGTAAAATTATAAAATTTTGAAAATTTATATTATTATAAATAAAAAAAATGTAACCGTCTATTTAGTCCATTTTATTAATTTTTTGAAATAATCATAAAATCATAGTGCGAATAATTTTAATTTATAATATAAAACAATAATTACCTTCCCTGATCCAACAGGACCTATAACAATTAATAATTCTCTCGGTTGCATGTTTAGTGATATCCCATTTAATGTTGGTTCGACTTCCTTCTTTACAAAAAAACAGTTATTACAATATACACAACTAACATTAAAAGTTATAAATCAGAAATATTAATAATAAACAATAAATTAATTTATGATAATGACTCAGGCAAGCCAGAATATCACAGTGAACACACTTACTCTCTATACAAGAAATGCGAAGTGCTCTAAACTTCAAGACAAAGATATTCGTGAGAGTCTCTACGAAGAGAGCAAAATAAATAATAACTTCCAAAAACCCCAGGGACAATGATTATTGGATACATTCACAATGCCATAAAACTCATAGAAAGCATCTATCGGGAAAATGGAGAAGATTTCCGAGAAGCAATGTCTCNATCATAGTGCGAATAATTTTAATTTATAATATAAAACAATAATTACCTTCCCTGATCCAACAGGACCTATAACAATTAATAATTCTCTCGGTTGCATGTTTAGTGATATCCCATTTAATGTTGGTTCGACTTCCTTCTTTACAAAAAAACAGTTATTACAATATACACAACTAACATTAAAAGTTATAAATCAGAAATATTAATAATAAACAATAAATTAATTTATGATAATGACTCAGGCAAGCCAGAATATCACAGTGAACACACTTACTCTCTATACAAGAAATGCGAAGTGCTCTAAACTTCAAGACAAAGATATTCGTGAGAGTCTCTACGAAGAGAGCAAAATAAATAATAACTTCCAAAAACCCCAGGGACAATGATTATTGGATACATTCACAATGCCATAAAACTCATAGAAAGCATCTATCGGGAAAATGGAGAAGATTTCCGAGAAGCAATGTCTCACTTTCATGCCTCTACAATGAAAAGCCAGGAATTTTTTCACCTAAATTGAAATATATCAGAAAAGATACTCGTAGAAAACTGTGAAAGAACATTGAATGTCGCAACAGTAACTCAAGAAGAGTCAGATGTTGAGCAGGCATCAAGTTCTAACAGACACAATTGATTACAAATTTAGTAATCATTCTTTGAAAGCGCTTCTTGGTTGTTAAAGATAAATTTTAATAGTATATTGTAGGATACGGATTTTTTTACATCAAGATTTGCCATTTGTAAGCCACCCACGTTTTAAAATATTGTGAATTTTTAATGCGCATAATCCAACGGTATCAAAATTTTACTAATAAACAAACTGATTAATGCTAACTAAAACAATTATTTTATGTTTACCTGCAGTGACACAACAAAAATATGGTTCATTAAATTTATTCTCATTTTATTTAATTTAACACACCTGTGTGTTTTATGTACGGGCCCCAGTATTTAAAAAATAATAAAATGTTTGTAGAATTCCAATTGCAAAACGCGAAAAAAGCATTCTGGAATTATATTCGATGGAAAAAGCTTTTCCAATTTAAAAATCAAACTTGTGATGAAAACCGAAAAACTCCTAGCGTTCAACATATCGGTCGAGTGTGAACCCTATAGCAACAACCATTGTTCTATCTTTAGCGTTGTGCACTTATCCACTCGTAAGCCAAAATATCCATTGTTTCGGATCAAATCTTAACAAATGTTGCTAATTATTTCATCACTTTAACAAATATAATTTTAAAAAAGCCAGTAAGTTCACAACATTCTACGTGAAGATCCTGTTAATTAATATTACGTTTGTGTCCTCTTTGCACATTCTTGTGTAGTGAGGAAGTCTTAATTCACCAGAATTTCCGAAGTAGACACAAGCATAATATAAATAATTAAATACAAAAGAATATA